CACGGCTGCCTGCGCCTGGCCCTCCCGCCAGCGGAGAGCTGGGTGCCCCGTCCTCTGCCCCAGGCCTTCGACTGAGGGAGCGAGCAAGGCTGTGGTGAAAGTCAGCGGCGTGCTGGGCACGGGCTGCCCTGAGGAGCCCGGCTGTACACCAGCACCCGGAGTGCCTGTGCCTCCCAGCAAGGAGAGGAGGAGATGGGGTTTTAAGAGCACGCCTTCCTTCTAAAGCTGCCTCTTTATTGTTGGGTGGTTTGTGATCCCCTGAGCATGAGAGGTAACGGCATCAGGCTACACGAGGGGAGGTTCAGGTTGGATATTAAGATAATTTCTTCTCCACAAGAGTGGTCAGACATTGGAACAGGCTGCCCAAGGCAGTGGTGGGGTCACCATCCCTGGAGGTGTCCAAGAAGCGTGTAGATGTAGCACTTGGGGACATGGTTTAGTGGGCACGGAGGTGATGAGTTGATGGTTGGACTGGATGATCTTAGAGGTCTTTTTCAACCTTAATGATTCTATGGGTGGCAGGAGGGCTGCTGGTAGGCTCTGTTTAAGCTTTGTATTTGTATTAACAAACTGAGGCCTGTTAGTTAAGGTCTTTCTGAAGGATACTTCATTCTGGCTCCTGCACTGAATAGTGCAATCTGGACTGACTTGGAGGAGGCAGTGGAGAGCCCATAGTTTGAGTCTGTGAGTTGTGGATACTTGGGGACAGCAAAAGCCTGAACCTTCCTAACAAATGAACCAGTTCTTCCCCATGGCTGAAATGGGGCAGAACTGGTACAGTGAATCTCACTGGTCACTTCTCTGTCCCTAAGTCTTTCAGATGAGCATATGCACAACAGACCAAGATAGCCAGGGTGGAAAGGCCAGGGAAAGAACTTGGGGCTTGCCATACATGCTATGACCAAGTAACATAAACGTCAGTGTCCTACTGTGTGATATGAATGAGAGTTCAGTTTATAGTAGTTTTCTGGTCTGTTTCATCTAGTTAGGTTTTCCTTAGAAAACCAAACATTTCTGGTTTTCTATATAAAATAGAAAGGGAGGTTTTCTATATAAAAAACCTCCCTTTGGTGGTTATATATAAAATATAACCACCAAAGGGAGTCCAGAGGGGAGTGTGTTGGCTGTCTAAGCTTTTCTTCAGTGAGCCTAGTGGGGAATGTTGAAATAATGAATTTTTGGTGGTTGTTGTTTGAGGTGTGACAGATAAGGATAGTTGAGAGTTTGAGGGTCTTACAAAAGGAGAGATGGTAAAAAGGGTGAACCTGTCAAGGACCTGCTGGTCAGAGAATGAAAAGGAGCTGATTTTAGCTGCCACAGCAAATTTGTACAATTAGATTTAGGGTTTTTTTTAGAAGTTGTCATAGTAGAACACACTACTTTTGAAAGGACTGTAGAACTACTCTTCTTCAGTGTGTTAGCAATGAAAACTTAGCCTCTCAGTGTGAAGATACTACTAAAAGATAAAATCCTTCCCCTTTCAGTGATGAGAATGGTACTGAATAGAAGTTAGGGAGGAGGAAAACAAAATCCCTTTAAGACAGAGGAAGAAAGAGCTGTTTCAGATGTCAGAAACACATGACAACCAAGGTACTGATTTTATAATTTAAAGTTTCATTTGATTCAGTATTACCTTCTGAGCTGTTATGATTGTAAAGAAAACTTTCCAAATGAGCCTTAGTATGATGTGATGCATGGCTAGCTTTGAAAGGCCTAATGTAGGCAGAGTCATATTTGTTTAACAGAAGTCATGATGCTAAATGAATGCAATTTTCTGTATGGATACTTATCAGATTATCTTGCATTTACAAATTGCAGGTGTAATTGATATGACCTGGTTTAAACTGATATAAATGTGTCTCCATAATGCAATGGTGGTTAAACTCATCCCGCTTCTCCTTTCATATAGCTCTGTAGACTTTCAGCAGGCAGCCCCATTGGCAAAGCTGAGCTGCACAGAACTTTCTTGATGAAACCCATCAGGAAAATGAAACTGGGAAGACTGGTCTATTTTGTAGCAAAATAGTGAAAATTGAATGAGTTTAAGAGAATGATAAGGATGATCAAAGTGTGGAAAACTTCTATGCAAGAAACAACTAAGCATACCAGGTCCTTTTAAGCTTGAAAACATGACTGCAAGGGGACCCAGTACAGGTCTGTATCCTCTGTATGCTATTTGTAATTTTAAACAGAGAATGAACATTCACTGTCAATACAAAATCAGGGCTATCAGATGAAACTAGCAGCTGACGAGCTTAGAACAAACAGGAGTTCTTGGTCCTCCCATAACCTATGGCTGTGCTGTGAAGCTCCTTGCCACAGGATGTTGTAGCCCTCAAAAAGATACTTGTGGCTCAGACAGCAACTGGAAAATAATTCATGGAAGCAAAAAAGTGGGGCCATTAAATGCAAAGAGAACACCCTGTACTCAGGCAGTGCCTGAGCTGCAAAATGTCAAGTGGGTGTTTGGAGAAAGTATTGTTGCGTGTGTGCTGCTTCTGTCAAAGGCAGGGGCTGATCAGCGTCTGCGCAGGAGCATAAAGAACAGGGGAAAGGCCAATGCAGTCTTTGCTCAGTAAAGCTGTTCTTACAGGACTTTTCAAAAAGCTGTGGGTGGTGCCGTGCGGTCACCTCTGTGTGGTCACCTCTGTGTGCTGTCCTGCAAAGCCGCTGGTCTGAGCTGAGGGAGGGCAGGAGGACTATCTGCACAGTCTCTGCAAGGCTGGAGGGGGAGATGCAGGCAGGGTCCAGCCCTTTCTCCTTCACCAATACAGAGAGGTGATCTGCAGGATTTGTCTTTGACTTTGCTGGTGGATCATCCTCTATTGTGTTGTAGCTTACCTGGTAAATACTTCCAAGCACACCGTGGGCGCAGCAAAATGCTTTGGCAACGTGCAAAATGATTCCAAGAGCATGGTGAAAATGGCAGTGTGTCCATGAACTGCAAGTTAGCATTTGAATTTAAACAAACCTCATCTCTGCTGGACTGATTTTAATAACCCAGCCAAATTTGTAGATGCAGGAACCACTAATTCTTCTGTGAAAAGAACTGCTCAAGTGTGCTGGCAGGTGACAAGGCACGAGAAGACTGCTGGGGGAAGGTTTTTTTTTAATTTGCCTCCACCTCTTCAGTTGGCTTTGATCTGCTTTATGAGGGTCAGAAGACGAAAACCTCATTACCTAACGCTGTTGGATGTCGACGTATGTGTGATATGGCTCCTTGCCAGTATCTTAATTAGGGAATTCATAAAAGTGGAGGGTGGATGCCAGTTCTTGAAAAGCGCTTTTAGCCTTTCTGCTGGAAAGAAAGCTTTTATTAATTCATTACAAAATGTATTTAAAAGGATCCAGCTCAACTCTGTAAGCAACGCTGCTTCTTTCTCTCTTTTCTATTTGTCTCTGCCTTTTTGTGAGCCATTTCGGGCTCCCTGCCCAAGATGGTCCCAACAAATGAGATTTGTAATAAGCATGTAAGTCAGTTTGAATTTAAATCCGTTCCAGGTCTCTCTGGTTTAAAAAGGTCTCCAGATTGCAAGCAACTGTTGCCAGAATTCAACAAAAATGGCTCAGTGTCTTGTCATACCTTGTGGAGCAATGGAGGCATCTAGCCTTAGATCCCTGTGTGCATCCAAAGCTGCCGTGACTTGACTTTCAGGAGTGGCTCTTGGGGAGCAGAAGGGCAGCTCTGTGTGCCCCGAGCTGCTGCCTGGATCTGAAGCACCTGTTTCACTTGCCCCTTTGAACTGACACTGCTGAAAGGTGCTGCTGGAAGGGAAGGCCTGTGTCCCTGCTACAGGCCATGTGAAAACAGGGAGTTGTCATGGGAGCTTTCTACATGCTGCACTTCATCCCTGTCCCAGAGGATCCCTCTCACGGAAAGGAGAGCCAGGAGGAGCAAGGGTTCATCTTTCCCATTTAGAAGCCACTGTGCTGAGATTGCCACTAAAAGAGAAGCCAGTGTGAAGCGCAGTGATGGTTCAGCTGAGTGAGCTCAGCTCTTGGTTTTTATGCAGGCCTCCAGCAGGCCTGGGTACATAGCCCAGTAACCTTCTTGTGTTTTAGTTAGTAGGGGGGGAAGGTTTCCATCTACAACAAGCTCAGATGTGCACCTGCTTCTAGGATTGCTCTCCTGGATGGAGAGCTGCTGCAGGGGATTATGACAAAGCTCTACAGGTTCTCTTGTGCTACAGCTTTACAGGCTACATCCCCCCTGGGAGTTTCCTCAGCAGCCCAGAGAGTGATCAGTAATACCCAGGCGTTGCTCTGATTCTCCCTGTGCTTATTTTCTATTTCTCTCTTTCCTTTGCCCTGCAGTGAAGAGTTACTTGGATGACTGAGCTGCTGAGAGACTTCTGACTTGCAGGAAGAGATCCCAAATGGGGCAGTGGCACTGGCATCTCAAGGTAGTGCTCTTGCCCATGGTTTTGGTTGGTGTCTGAGGCTCCTTGTGTAATTGAAGCAGATGGTATTGTTCTAATTTACAAGTGGGGAAACTGAAGCACAGTAAATCGATAACATCTGGGAATCCTCACTCTCAACCTTCCTTACAACCTTAAACTAGCTTTAAAACAAAGAAATAGATTCTGGAGGAAAAATATTTTGTTCATTCAGCAATCTGTTCCTCCTTCCCTGCTTTTTTTATTTTTTGATTATTTTCTGTCCCTTGTTCCCCCAGCTCAGCAAAGCTGATGGTGCAGTTCTAGGGCATGTGGTTTATTAGCAAATTATTGCTCTCCAGCAGGGGACCTAAACTTTGGTTTTGATTTAAGAGCAGTAAAACTACTTGAAACTTTTAAAGTATTATGTGGAATCTAGAGATTTTTAGTCAGCAGAAAGTAAAAGCATTGGCAGCATTGGGCAGAATATCCTTGTTATGTCTCGTGAAATGACGGAAGTATGGGCAGAGAATGTCCTAGTGAGAGCAACTGCAAACTGAGCAGGAGGAGCAGTGCTGGAGGAGAGGATAGGAAATGCAATGGCATTGATAATTTAGTGGTGGGCTTGGCAGCTGGCTAACCAAAACTCTCATTAAATTGTATTATTTAACATGATTTTTGAATGTGTTTCCAGAGAAGACAGGGTGCATTGTAATAAGTTTACTAGGCAAGGAGGAGCCAAGGTAACACATGGTGAAGTACCTCTTGCTTGTGTGTGTATGTGAGGGTTTCCAACAGATAAGGGCTCAGAGACACAGTTACTTGCAAATGGTAGGTAGGAACTGGTGAGGGAGATGGTCATTCTTAAATGGGACTCGACAGACACCCCACCTCCACTCTGCTGTCCTCTGCCATTAAATTAACTTGCTGATTAGCGTGGTCAGAGCTGATTTGGGTGAAGCCCTTGGTTGGCTCTGAAGCAGACTGGGATAATGCATCCTGCTGACTGAGCTGTAGTGGGTGACAGACAGTGATAAGCAGCTGGAGTTAACATTCTTAACTGGCACAGCTGGGTATGGAGGAGGATAATTATCTTTGCCCTAACCAAATGCATTTTCAGCTAACATGCTTCAAAAACATCTGTGTCCCCATCCAGCAAAACCCAAGCATTGTCGAACACAGAAGCACCATTCCCTGTGCTGTGGGATCAGGTGATGTGCCTTGGTGCTCCCCTTGGGCTCGGGGGAAGCTGTGCAGGTGCCTCTGGGGAGCGTGGCATCTCAACAGCCCCGGCAGAGCTGCCTATAACAAGGGACTTTGAAATTGCTGTCTGGTGAGATGCAAAGGTTATTTGAGCCTGGCTCTATGTGGCCCCCACCACAGCTCTCCTGTGCTCCTTGCAGGGAGGCTGTTGAGCTGTGGGGGGGTTGCTGTTGGTTGGATGCCTGATGCCCACCAGAGCTGCTCTGTCACTCCCCTTCTCAGCTGGACAGGGGAGAGAAAATATAATGAAATACTTGTGGGTTGAGATAAGGACAGAGAGATCACTCAGCAATTACTGTCATGGGCAAAACAGACTTGACTTGGGGGAAAAGTAATTTAATTTATTACCTATCAAATCAGAATAGGATAATGAGAAATAAACCCAAATCTTAAAAACAGCTTCCCCCTAACCCTCCCTTTTTCCTGGACTTAACTTTACTCCCAAGCTCTCTACCTCCTCCCCACCGGCAGCACAAGGGAATGGGGGTTGCAAACAGCTCATCACATCACACGTTGTCTCTGCCACTCCTTCCTCCCCAGGGGCAGGACTCCTCACTGCTCCAGTGTAGGGTCCCTCCCACAGGAGACAGTCCTCCATGGACTTCTCTGATGTGAGTCCTTCCCATGAGCTGCAGTTCTTCACAAAACTGCTCCAGCGTGGGGTGCAGTCCTTCAGGAACAGACTGCTCCAGCATGGGTGCCCCACAGGGTCACAAGTCCTGCAAGGAGCCTGCTCCAGGGCACGCTTCCCACTGGGTCACAGCCTCCTTTGGGCTCTCACCTATTCCAGTGAGGTGTCCTCCACGGGCTGCAGGTGGTCATCTGCTCCAGTGTTAATGTCCATGGGCTGCAGGGGGGCAGCCTGCCTCACCATGGTCTTCACCACGGGCTGCAGGGGAAGCACCTGGAGCACCGCTTCCCCCTCTTTCTTCACTGACCTCAGTGTCTGCAGAGTTGTTGCTCCCACACATTCTCACTCTTCTCTCCCACTGCAATTGCTGTTGTGCAGGGCTTTTTTTCCCCCCCTTCTTAAATATCTTATCACAGAGATGCTACCACCGTTACTGATGGGGTCAGCCTTGGCCAGCAGCAGGTCTGTTTGGAGCTGATTGGCATCGCCCGTCAGACATAGGGGAAGCTTCTAGCAACTTCCCACAGGAGCCACCCCTGTAGCCCCCCTGCTACCAGAACCCTGCCACGGAGACCCAGTGCATTAGCTGACTGGCTAAACTCCTTTTTGCAGTCTGCTTTGTTCTCCCTTTTACATTGAGCCTCTTCTCCCATCCTGCTTATTTCTAACACTTGCCTGCCTTTGATGAGCAGAAGGTGTGAGGTTGCTAACGAGCTCAGAATGGAGCTGATCCCCCGAGCAGTAATAAATAGGGATCACTACCTTTGAGTTTGTTTCCTGTAACACTGTTCATGGGAGCGTTTGTGCTGTGGGACGCCTCTGAGGCTGATGTCCAGGTATCTTGTGTCTCATTCCACCTCAGTGCTTTACCTGGGACTGTGCTGCCTCTTAGCTTCTGGTTTGTGAAGGCTCCCACCACAGAGAGGCCATGGTGGCAGCCATCTAGCTGGCCTTGGCCTTGCTTAGGGAACAAGACACAGCAGGAGTGTTGTGTTAAGTAGCTAAAAAGAGAGGTCATTGCCACCTCAGGGCACCCAGGCCGTTTTCTTTCAGGCTAGGATGTTGTGTTCATATGATCTGATTAGTCCCATTGTTTCCCTGCTGGAAGCAGACCTGAAAGAGTTTTTCCTAAAGATGTCTACACTCTGGTTGCCAGGCAGAAAAGAGGAACGATTCCCAGAAGAACTGTTGTCTGTGGTGGGATTCCCTCCTGGGCAATCCATTTGCACACAAGTAGATCAACCCTCTGGTACTTATCCACAGTTACTCCCCTCCACAGGAAGACACAGTGGGGGGGTTGCTGTTAGAAAACCTGACCAGGAGACAAAGAGATGACCGGTGTTCTTCTTCATGGGAACATGCTGCTGACAAAACTTGGTGGAGGTTGAAGGTGTGGGGGTGGCAGTGAATGCTCTGTTGAGCATGCTGTGCAGACTGCTGTTGCTGTTGTAGATTTAGTTGACTAAAAGTGATAGCAGGTATCAGTGTTTCCCCTTTGTCCCCTCTTCACCCAAGCAGACAGCTGAGGGTGCTTTGTAGTCACATCCCATGAACTTCTGCATCTGTTTGCAGCACTAAACCAAGACCTTGTCCCTCAGGCTTTGGCCAAGGCCAGTCTCTCTCATTTTATCCTCTGTTAAATGTGTAAAGGTGCTTTAGATTTCATCTTTGTGGAGCCACATGTAAAGAAACTAGAAGAGGCTGAAACAAGATCGGATCTTGGCAAACGGTGCTGGCCAGCCACACAGTGGGAGTGTTCGAGCTGGTCTGGCTGTGTCTGGGATTACAGGGTCACAGTTGCCTGGGCTGTAATACAGGCTGATCTAAGAGGTGGTGGCACTCTGTGCAGACCTGGGGCTGTTCCTCTCTTCATTTGGGAAGGAAGGAGGTGGAGTAGCTGAGCTGCTAGCCTTCCCATCTGAGTGGGGATGGATCCCTGTTCGCTGGGAGAGGAAACGACAGTGACTGGTGTGGTGTTTTTCAGATTGATGGACTGGAGGAAAAGCTGGCGCGCTGCAGGCAGAGCATGGAGGAGGTGGATCTTAAACTGCGCAGGGAGAAGCTCAGCCCTGAAGGAAGGTATTGGTGATCATGTCCTTTCACAGCTGTGGCTGTGTGCTTCAGCTGGCTATCATCCTGGGTAGTACTGAGCAAGGGCTCGTGAGGGTATGGGAATGTGGTTTCCAGTGACAAGACTCTCTTCCCTCAGCTTGGAGCTTACATGGGGAACATGCCAGGGTGAGAAGTTCATTGATCTATGGAGAGAGCTTCATCTTATTAACAGTCTCACTCCAACCTGCACCACAACCAGCCAAGCAGTGCACAGAACTTGCCAGTTCATTTGCAGGGCTGGCTTCTGGCTTGCTAGTAAACAGCTCTGTGAGTCTGGCAGAGGCTCAGTGCACGCTGCTGCTCGAGCCTTGCCAAAACTGCCCAAGTTCAGTCAGGGGAGATGTGCAGCAGCTACTACTGAGGGCCAAACCAGGCTGGGATGCAACTGGGAGAGGGGCTGAGGGAAATGACCCTATCTGGGCCTGTGTTGCAAATGTGCCTGGATGTAGGAATGCAGTGACACATGGGCTTCCATGGGAAAGGGATGAGGGACAATTCCCCAGAAATCTGTCACTGACATAGAAGAGAACGGTAGGCTTCCAGAGCTGAGACTCAAGCAAGGACTTTGACGGGGATTTTGTATCAGAGACAGGCAAAACCTGCTGTTTCTCTAGAGTAGGAAGCAAGAGATCCTGGATCTCCCAGTTGATTCTCAGATCTGTCTGCTTGAAGGCATTCTTCCAGTCACCAGCATCTCATTGCTCTGCTCCTGGCAGAAAGGCTGGGAAGGTCAATTGTAGGCCCAGGGAGCAGCCCTGCTGGTCCTGGTGGCTGCTCTACAGTACTGTCCTACAGAACCCAGTTAGAAGTGATCCCCTAGCAGTGGTGGCATCTCCACACCCTGATATTTACCAGCCTCAGGTTATCTTCTTTGTTCTTCCTTTCCACTGTTATTTTGCTCTATCTGTCATTCCTTGAGCCAGCCTCTCTCTTTCCTCCTCCTTTACTGGGGTTTCATATCCCCATACATATTTGGACAGGGTCCTGTCTCCTACTGTCCCTCAGCTCACTGGCTCCTCACCTCACCAGTCCTTCATCTAGGCCTAAATTATTCTTCTTATGCTTACTGTCTGTATTCTTTATCTGCTACTGAGGTGGCCAACAACCAACCTACAGTTGTGGTAACTTGACAGGATGAAATATATTTGTATGATTTCTCTCTGAAGTATAGGGCCTAGAGCAAAGAATTAGGATTAGGGATTCCTGGGGCCTCTCCTGAATTTTACAACTTGTGTAGAGATGGAAACAGGAATTCTGTTGCCCTAATCCAGACCATTTGAAAACCCTGGAGGAAAGTACCATGATCAAATTACTGATTCAGGGAGTAGTACACTAAGGAGAGCTCTGCTTTCCCATTTTGAAGGTCAGTTGTCATGGTTTCTTCATGTGTCATTCTCAAGGTCTCTTCCCTTGACTCTCTTCACAAGGCAAGTTTCTAAGTAGCAGCCCAGTCATGTTGGTAAACTTTTCTCACTTCCTCCTGGCTGCATTCCACATCACCTTTCCCCAGCTGCCTTTAAGAGCCCTTTCCTCTTTGGCTGTTCTGACATGGCTTGCTTTCTTGCCATCCCTTACTTAACTAGCTGTACACATAGATTTGGATCTCTTTCCGCCTACAGGTTCTTGCTCTGCCCCAAGGGGGAAAACAAACTCTGTTACACTTACTGCCTTCTCTGTCTGCTTTGAACCAGGAGATAATTTGTTAGTGCATGCTTTTATTTATATGCACACAGTCTGAAAGGAGTGACCACAGCCTCACAAGCCACAATGGGAACACTGCTGCTTTCAGGCAATTTGTTTTGCATTTATATTTTAAACTGTGTATTAATTAATCATCTTGTGCAGTTTAAGACAAGGGCTGGGTTGGCCTGACTTACTCTATTGTTATTATCCCGAGTCTTCAGTCTAATAACAGATTGTTTAACTGGTTGTTACTGGGTTTGGATTCAGCTTGTTTCCTTGAGTTGACCAATTTGTGTAAATCAAATACCTCTAACAAAGGGATCCCAGCTTCAATCAGTGAGAAGAATTATCATTCTAGCACTCAGACAGATGTGCTGGAGGGGAAGGATCCTGCAGAGACCCTACCCCATCCCATAGCCATCACAGAACTTTCTACCCCACCATGGGGAACAGAGTAGGGGGCTCTGTCACACAGACCCCTTTCTATCCTGCTTGTGTACAGTGACACTGTCCTGAGATGAAGCAGCTTGGGGGAAGGAAAAAATAATCTAAAACTGCTGTTATCTGTTCTCTTGCACAGCCGGGGGTTTCTGAACTGTCACCTCTCCAGAGTGAAGGGTGAGGGGCTTATTCTGGGAGCAGACATCCCTGGCAGTGGGACAGTCTCTCTTCCATCATATAAGCAAAAAAAAATAGGCTGTGTTGTGCCTCGCAGGTAATGAACTACTCTTCTCATTACAGAAAGTCACTGGAGAGAGAGAGAAACTTGCTAATGACCAAAGCTGACAACTATGGTAAGAGCTTCATTAAAAATGGTCCCTCTGGGCTGGATGGGATCAGTGCTGCAACTTAGCTTTGTCTGCAAGCTCCTGCCACCTCTGACTTCTGCCTTTGAATTTAGGTTCAACCAAGGGGATCTAGAGGGAAATCTACTCAGTGTATTTTAATAGGAGTCTGGATCCTCTTGCTTGAGCTGTGCTATCATAGGGAAAAAAAAATAAGCATCAGCTAATGAGGGGGGAAAGATGTGCCTTTCACATGCCCCTGGTTACCAGCCTTTAGATAATGTTAACCAACAGATTGACTTGAGTGGCTTCTAACATCCCCCCTCACCTTCTTTTTTTTTCCTTTTCTTTTTTAATAGAAGCTTGCTAAGCAACCCAGCAAGTGCTTTCTGGAGTGTAGCAAAGTACACCTTCCTTGGGGAAGCTTCTCACTGCATCAGCTTCTAGGGCCACTCAGCACACAAGCATAGGGATTCACACTGATGTGCTACCTGCAGTTCAGAGAGCCAGGATTGTTCCTTGCTGTAAGCCCTGCTATAGACAGTTAAAATGAGAGTTCCTCTGAGCTACCACACATTTGACAGCACTTCCATTCCATTAGGGATGCTGCTTTCTGTGTCTTGAGGCTCCCGGTGTTGATCAGCAGGTTAACTGCTTGAGAGCACTCTGCAGCAGTGCAAGCATGAGAGCTCACAGAAGGGAAAGCAGCACAAGTGTTCTTTTAGGCCTGGAGAGTTGGAAACTGGGGTATGGCCAGAAAATTTGTAATTTTAACTCATGTTAAAGGTCTGTTTCCAGAAGACTAACAGTTATTTTAAAGATTCAAAGCTGTTCCCTAAGGGCCTACCACTAGAGAGAGCAGAAGACTCTGCACATCACATCACTGCCACCCTTTTACCAGCAGTCAGCCATCACTGCTGTCATCAGCAGAGCCAGCGACAGGCTGCTCAGACAGCAGCAACAGCCTCACCTAATGGTGATGGCTGCTCCTCCTGGAACAGAACAGACAGCCCATGCAGACACAGGCTTTTTAGATCACTGCTATAGCCCCTGATTAAATCTCTTATTCCAGCTGATGCACTTGAGGCCATGAACTGCAGTTGCTGACAAGGGCATTGCTCCATCAGTTTAAGCTGGCACTGCTATGCTTGGGGTTATGTGACCTCCTGCCCCCACCACCTCTTCTGTAGCCCTGCAGATTCAAGCAGTTTGCCCTGTGGTTGCATGAGAATGCTTGTACTACATGAAGAAAGAACAGCTAAAAGCCTCTTGATACCAGCACCAAGGCATTTCCACTGGAGGCTGCTAGTGCAAACTGTAACAGCAGTAACCTGTGTGGTCACTGCAGCTGACTTCAGCAGCAAGGGCACTGTGGCCCTGGAGACAGCCTGCACCAAACCTTGTCCTGCAAAGTAATTATTGCCATTTGGCCATGCAGTGTGCAGTGCTGTAGGCCTCACTTCTTGCCTCTACCATCCAGCAAAGCCTTGTGGAACAGAACTAGTGAGAATGGGGTTCTTAGCTGTGGTAAAGGGAATGGAACAGAAATGGAGATCAGTAGGACTCCATACTTTTGGTAGCCACTTCCTTCCTCTCTCTGCATCTGCGTTCTTTGGTAAACCAGGGCAAGGGAAAGTGATCCATCTCTACAAAGCTGCACACCCAAACAGAATGAGTGTTCAGGCTGTTGCACACTCATCCTTCTGGGGCACGAGGAAACCCAGATTCTGCAAATATTCAAAGGCAGCCACAGTTGTATTTAAGTAAATTGAAGCACTAGGAGAAGGTACCAGGCTGTTATGTCTAGAAGACAGTAAAAATAGCTCTCTACCCTCTTTTCTTAATTCTCTTAGGGAACAAGTAGTTGTTCTAATGACCCATTCTGTCCTTTGTATGGTCCTAGAACAAGGTCATTTGCAAACAGGAACTGGTCTGGCACCGAAGTATTCCCAAGCACAGCTACTGAGATTGCCAGGATGAGAGGTAGCAAGTGAAAGTGTTCCTGCTAGTTTACTTCCTGTTCAGCACATCTTGTAATTGGCAGCTTTGCATACTGATCCCAAAAGAGTTTCCCTGTGGCCAAGGGTAGCATTGTGCTTTTAAGACGGTTTTGAAGGGAGATGGAGCTGCAACATGAAGAACATTCACAAGCAAGGCTTTTGTTTGCTTCCCAGAGAAAGAACTGAGTGCGCTTCGCAAGGAAAATCGCAAGAATGCTGCCCTTGCTGTGGCTACAGGGTTGCTGATTGCTCTTATTTACGCCTGCTGGACGATGTGATTGCACTCAAGAATTCACCCTGCTGACCAAATGACTCTCCTAGAAGGAGCTTTTCCTCCTCTCACCACTGTGCCTCCCCCAAGGGTGAGGATCAGCATTTCAAATTGCCATTCTTGTTTATCCTCTCCGAGCCTCATTGTAGGGAAGCTTTTACCTCAGAACTGAGGGGGACAGGAGACAAACCAGAAATCACAGCACACCTGCAAATTGCAGTCAGGTCAAGCAGAGCTCAAGGTGGTGCTGTCCTACCCAATATGCAGTCAAGACCATCCAGCCTGATGCAGGAAGGCAACACATTTTCCCTTTTGAAGAGGACCTCTGTGGTTGCAGCCAAGTGCTCCCTGACCAGCCCCATCAGAATACCTGCCACGTTCTTGGTTCCTGTGACTCGGCCATAGGCTGAAGGGACACCAGGCTCTTTGGATCAAAGGGTAACTTGGGTATTGTGACCTAAAGACTCCACGTGTGCCCAGAGCTGAGCTATAAACAAAGATGTTTCCTCCTCCACCCTGACTTACAGGACCAAAGGAACCCTACCTCCACAGAAACAGATGGGAGGTAGGTATCTCTCTTTCTGCAAGCAGGATGCATCCAGGTTGAGATCTGGGTGCTTGGTCTTTGAGAAGATCTGCCTACCTCTCCAGTACATCAGAGCTTGGTAGCCATTTTGTGCCTCTGAGAATCAACACTTGCAGAAGATAATTTACTGTGAACTGCTAGGGATGGAAGTGCCTCTGCAGGGCTTTAAATAAAACAATTTGACCTTGTAACTTCCCGTTTTTCTTTTTTTTCCTCTTGTCTTACATGTCTCTCAGCCACTGCTTTCTTCTCATCCTACCATCTCCCTGCTGGCACACTTTGCACCATAGTAAGCCTAGACTGCGTTAGGTACTTCACATCCCTGGTCACCGAGGTCTCAACAGAGGGTTATTGGTCTGTTGTAACCTGGAATCTACTCGAGTGTTTGCTTCAAGTGGGAAGGATCATGGCATGTGCTGCAGAGGAGTGCTGGAGACTGTCCCCTTTCATTCTGATCTAGTGACGTACGCTAGATGGCCCTGGGTGTGCTCTGCTTGCCAGGAAAGCATTTAAAAGGGCTTAAAAATGGAACTGTGCAAGGCATTTCTCTGTCTCCACGCTAACACACACTGTTGGCCAGAATTCTGTGGGAAGCAAAGAAAACAAACACTGTTGTTAACTAAAGGGGCTGTATTGGTAATGGCAACAATGAAAGCAGAGAAGTCAACACAAAATGATAGGCAGCCTAATAACAATACCTTGTGCAATTAATGTACATAAACATTCCCTTCAACAAGACCTTCCTCGCCCCCTCTCCCGACATAATTCCTCTGTATTTCCCCTGCAGGGAAGCAAGAAGCATGGTGGCTCATGCTGCCTTCTTGAAGGGGGATTCAGAATTAAGGTTCAGTGCATCAAAAATAAAATTAAAAATAAAAGCAAATTAAAATCAGGAGGAGCTGGAGGCAACTGGGTAAACAGAAAGTATCTGTTCATCAGAGCTAGCCTGCAGGCTAACCAGGGCTTTTTGCACCCTCAGAGGCCTACACTCACCCTAGTGTACTTCCTAGTCACCCTTCTGGCTGCCAGCCCACAGGAGACCCAAAGCCCTGAGTGGAGGACACAACACTTGGCAGAGGAGCCTGGCAGAGGGAGCAGCATGCTTTGCTGGCACTAGAACAGCCTCAGGGCAGTCCGAAGAAGCACCAGAACTCAAATTACTGGTTGGTTTAAAAAGCCAGCTGCACACAGGCCTGGAAACCACACAGTTGGAGGTTCTTTATTGCCCACTGGGAGAGACTCCTCCTCATCCCTCGCAAAAGTGCCTTTGCCAAAACAAAACTGCCAGTGATGAGCCTCTTGTTCTTTGGGGGGGAGGGCCACCATTTCTTTCATACATTTTTATCAATGCTAGAGAGCAGAGGGGGTCTACAGGTCAGAAAAAAATGCATTGACAGCATGCCATCCCTCAACTGCTTTGGCAGACCTAACTGTGTCTGGGAACTAATAGTCACCAACATGAAAAAAAACCAGCTTTGACCCACTTCACTTTTGGCCAGAGCTTTAGAAGAAACAGGATAGCTCCCCTGCACAATATTCAGGGCTACCTATGTGTAAGCCAACCTCCCTCCCATCCACTCCTGAGTTTTGCCTCCTCCAGTTTTCACTGACCAACTGACCACGACAACTTCTGTGCTGCTCCTTTAACCAGGAGTGTGGTTCTGCACTGATCAAGCCTGCATATAATTTTCCCTGCTGCAAGGAGCTGCAGCTGTTAATTAATACCAAACTGTAGAGAATTAATACATGGTTATATGGAGACAATTTGCTTGTCAAGACATGGAAGTGCTCCAAGCTCAGAGAGCACAGCCTACTTGTAGAATGACCTTCAACTGTGTGCTGAGAATGAACACAAAACCTACGCATGATGCTGGGCCTTGGAGGGTGGAGGTGGGACTTCTACAACATGCCATCCTTGTTCTGGCTTCTTTGGGTGGGGTGCAGGGCACCCATGCACCTATACATCTAGAAGTGAAAATTTCCATGTCTTGCTACATAAACCTTGTTCAAATGGTACATATGGGTGTGGAGAGAAAGAAACAAGAACTAAACAACTGCTATAGATTCTAGAACTATAGCTTTAAGGCACAGTTCAGACAACCCCTAAATCAGTTTCCTCCCTACTGCCAATCTATGTTTAAAAACAAGCCAAGACCAAAAAAAAACGGGGGGGGGGGGGGGGGACGGGGGGGCAGGGGGCAATTTTGCTGCTTGGCCAAAAGCAGTCAACTGTGTGTGATCTGCTGATTTACGTGGAAGACCAGGCAAAAGTGCCATGGAAGCCAGAAGTGAAGGTAAAACATGCAACAGAAGACAACTTTGAGCCCAGCACAGAAGTGCATGGAGGACTCTGTTGACACACAAATACCATGCTGAGATATTCACAGCTCTGTGCCTCCACTCCGAGTACAGCTCCAGGGCCACATGAGACGTGGAGGGTTTCAAAGCCCACTCTTACATTTAAAAAGGAAAGTCTGGTAACCTTTCCAGTGGGCAGAGTCAGGGGACTGGATTTCTTCTGATTAACCAACATGGTCAAAGTCAAGATATCTTTTCACTGAAGCCCTGGCTTTTTTAACTAATGCAGAAGTTCCCATCTTTTCCTCCAAAGACCTCCAGCATCCTAACCTTCCTGTCTTCCCTCCCACATCTGCTTTCCTCCCTGAATATTCAGGTAATTGTGTTGAGTACCAAGAATCAAAGCACCTTGGTCTCAGAAGTACCATGAGGCATTGACACGTTCACAATTTAACCCCAGGCTGCTGGCTCAGGATCAGTTATTGATCTGGAGAGGGGAAATCCTTGTCACAGCAGCTTCTAGAGGTCTGAGAAATCCCTGGCACTGAGCACATCAAATCTGTGCCAGGACTCTACTCATCACCTGTGCTGGCCTCTGTCCAACAGGATACCATCACATAGGAATTGCCAGTGGCCAGCCAAGTGCCTTGATAAGCAGAACTGTTGGAGAGCCCAACAAGAATACATAGTTACACCCCAAAGCTCGCATTCCCCAATGAGTTAACACCTTCCACTGGGTAGTGTAGGCCTTTGACAAGACCGAGGAGGCGAATACCGGCCAGAAACAATGCAGGGCCGCTTCAATGTCCTGTTGCCCAGCTCTGCCACCAAGACATCTCTGCTCCTTTCTACACTGACAAAGAAGCACGAGCCTGGAGAGTTCTGGCACACACAGAGCTCCACAAACCTCGCTGAATCTCTGAGCAGGAGCAAAGCAAGCTGCCAGCCCCCTGGCCTCATGCATGCAGTAGGTCAGGACAAAAGGGCGTTAGGCCTTGGCTCCAGGAGTCACCACTCCTGGGTACTCCAGCAGCAGGCACTACCTGGGCTGTATTCTTATATACACTGCCAGGTTAGAGCCTTGTCCTGGGCCTCTGCGTACTACCCCCTGGTTAGATCATTTCCAGGAAATCAGCTCTGGAGAAGACCAGGATAGAAGTTGTGGAGTCTCCCCAGTCTCATCAGTCCCTGAAGAATCCAAGCTGGGCTCAGCTCCCCTTGCACTCCTCAAGAGAGCAGGGTTAAGGGTAGTGTGCTTGGATGAAAGACAGGACATCTTCCTTTGATAGCTTCTCTGGATCTTGCCTTTTCTGAGAGTCGTGGACTTTGACACCTTCCCCCCACTCCCAGAAGAGGCGGCTGTAATGGCAGATGCTGTGGGCAGAGAGAAGAGCAAGATTAGTTTGGCAGGGGAGGGGAAGGAAAACACTGTCATCCTAGCCACAGAGTGCACTACAGAGCCAGCTGCCCTTGCAAGGGGAGCCACACAGATATTCTAAGGGGTGCCTTAGAGAAAGACCAGTGCATTCATTCACCATATAAACTCCACAGCCCATAAGGTGGAGCAACTTCCAAGCCTAAGAGATTTCCATGGAAACAAACTTGATTCTAGCTTCACTCAACATTCAGTTCAGTATTTGCTGCAAGGAGACAGGTCATTAGGGAAAACCTACCTTTCCCCCAAGTTTCTGAGGGGATGTCATTGCAGGCAATGGAAAGGCCTTTAGAAAGTCTGCCCGCAGCAGCAATCTAATCACTCACCACAAAACTACCAGATGAGTAATAGCTGTCCTATGGAGCTTTGCAAGTGAACAGCACTTCACGTTGCACAAAAGCTGCTGGGACCATCCCCTCTTTCCCCTCATATCAAATAACCAAGCTCCAGTTGGCTGCTGAGACTTCTGGTCCTACAATGCCATCTCTCACTCCATCCATCAAGCACAGCCCTCCCTCACTGCATCAACATAGTCCCAGCCATAATGAAAACAGAGCTGCTAATTACTGCAAACACAGCAGCCTTTAGTTTTGTACAATTACTGACACTTAATATTCATAGCTTATTTAGTGCTACTGTTCTAACAAAGCAGTACTAGCACAGCGACAAGAGCACATGTCAATGGCTAATTACAGACACATTAGTACTCACTAACCACAAGACAACACATCCCTTCTGGAGTCCCACACAAGCCTTCCTCCACCTCCTCAATCATTCACGCAGGTTCATGCTGGCCTGCTTCTGAGTACACAGGCAGAACTAAGCCCATCCTGACACATGGAGGCAAAAAGCATCGTGTGCCTCTGCTTTTACAGTTTTAAGCCTGTTCTTCTGCTTATGTGGTTAAGGAAAGCTTAAGGATTCTTACGAGTGCTGCTGTAAGGTAGGTAAGGAGATTCAGAGTGAGAAAATCAGGAGCCCCATTTCATAGGAAGCTCTCGCTCAGAGGCACAGTCCTGGGTAGTGGTGGTGAAGTGCATCTCTTGAGACTACCTGAGGGCAAGGTGTGCAGAACATCTCCACCCACGAGCCCTGAGGTGTCTCACAGACTCGGGATTTGCTGTACTTAAGAGGTGGCCTTAGCCTATTTTTTTTAGTGTTAATAACTGTCCAATGACAAGCAACTTAATTCTTTCCCAAGGAGCTGCTGCTTTTCTCTCTCACTCTCTCTTTAAACAGCTCCCAGCTACCTACAGCTTATTCCAGAGCCTGGGCTAAATGAACTGGGATTTGCTTTTAAATTAGCAACTTCCAACCAAGCATCTTAAAATACAGAGTTACAGCAAATTACAATTGCTGGGCTCAATTTCCATTTCCCTGTGTGCAGGGAGGTTCACTAACTTGTACTCTGCTGCAGACAGGGGAACAAAGTTGTGAGATGTGTGTTACTCACAGCAATTAATTGCAAAATCCACAAATCCAGATCAGCAGTTTCCTAGAAGTCTGAGAAGGTGCCAGCTTCTGCAGCACACTCTGCTGGTGACCAAGCTGTGCCTGCACTGCAAATGACTGCAAGAACTTAGCACAGCACACCATAACTCCCTTCCAAATACACCAACAAGCTCACAAACTCGGACACAGCTCTGGCTTGTACTCACTGAAAGGGTGCGATGGATTCAGGAGGGAGGTCGTATGTCGCTTTCTTGGTCATTTTGTTGAAGAAGAATTTCCTCTTGGAGTTTTTGCTGTATGCCATTGTCCAGGGATCTTGGAGAAGAGTCACAAGGATCAGACAGAAAATTAAGAGGGGAAAAAAAAGCACAGTGTAAATATACATATTTATATGTAAATTCACATATATTACATTTCCATATTTCCGTGGATATTTCCATGTACTATTACTCCAGAAAATATCTTCTTGATGAAAAATTATGATCTCATTAAAAAAGAAAGTCATCAGTCATGGAAATAAATTGAATTACCCACAATAGCTAATCAACCCACAACAGAAAAACCTATCATATAAATACCTTAAACCTTATCCAAATCCAAAATAGCAGTTAAGTCTCTAGCCATTGCAACACTCTCATCAATTTTTTACCAACTTACAGCAGGAGGAAGCTTGGTCAATACTTTCTACTGTTATTTTTACAATAAGAGCGAGCAGGGACTCTCTCTTCTTACCATTCACAGTCCGTACGATGTAGAGTCCTGTGGGCACAAAGTGCCGGTCATCTCGGCCAGTGTAGGACAGCCGGGGTATTCCCCCCGAACTCTTGATGATTTTCATCTCTAACCTGGATGTGGAGAGAAGGCAGTGATAGAGATGCCTTGTTTCTTCCTTTACTGTCCTCTTGCACACAACAGGCCACCTGCACACCCTCTCCAGAGCATCTGACAGCACTGACAGGACAAAATCATCACATCCTGGAGAATGTAGTCTCTTGCCTCCCCCACATGCTGCCTAAAGAAACCAGCTAGAGCTGTCTAGATCAGGTAGCAAATCGAGTTTTGCAATGAAAGATCCATGATGATCTACCATGCTTAATCCAAGTGGGGTTCCCATTTCAGGTATGAACTCTTAATCTTTCAAGCCACTGCCACTTCTGCACAGACTCAAGCACCACGGCTGCTCCTGCTGTTGTAAAGTACATTGGCCACATCTACGGCATTAGAACTCAGCAGGACAATGCTCTGAGTCAGCAGCATCTGGGAAAGAGCAGCCATGAGCTGCACAAGCTTTAACAGCTCTTTCTTTCTCTAGGACCCCTCAAGCACATACCTCCTATTCCTGTGCATTGGTGGCTCATACCCTCAATGGGCCCTGAAGTCTCTCATTTGTGCCGGTCACTTACCTCACAAAAATCTTTTCCATTTCCTCCAGTCTGTACACTTCCTTCACTCTGGGGGGGAAAAAGACAAAAATGTGATTTAAAAAAAAATTTAAACTGTCCTATTTTTCTGTCCCAGCTACAGGGAGCAGCCAAACAGTGCATTTTGTACACCATGAGGTGGTCAGGCATGACTGAGGTTCACCCTTCTCAATCTTATCAATCTTATGCTCCAGGGCCTTATTTTTCCTGCCTTGAGAAAACCTGACACCTGGATGCTCATGGCTGGCTGCTGTCAGCAGCATACGAGCATCCTCGCTGCTAAGGAAGTCATGCATTTTTACCTCAGGCTGAGTATACAGAAGAGGAAGAACAATGAAAGTTGGGTGCTTTTGTTCTCCCATGAAGTAAATTCACCAAGGTCAGCCCCAGGCAGGTTCTGGCCTCAGCATGCTGGCCTCCCAGTAACTAAACTGCCTGGTCTTCACCATTAATACCCACAGGGATGCCACAAGCACGTTAGTTACCCTGAGGTAAAAATAGCCTTTTTTTTTTTTACATCAGTAAAGATGATTTGAAGTCAACATTCTCATTATTATGTCAAACTATTTTTGGTTTTGTTGTTCTGAGACACAGAAAGACAATGGGAAAGTTTCAAAAGCACTGCTTCTGATCTTACACCCATTTCCCACACACTGCTACAAGCATCAGGCCTCAAAGAGCACAGTTCGAATGCCTTCTCACAAGAGCAGAAAAGGATCCTCCTACAACCTACTACCCTACAACCATCTCTACAGCTTTCCCTCTCACTTCACCTTCAGCCCCCTCCAACATTTTGAGCTCCCCCAGTTCTTTCAACTCTGTTTGTCTTGAGTTTAATTGAGATCTCACCCATTATCTTTCAATAAGCCACCAAGGACTTTTTTTTCCCTTCCTCCAGCTTCTCTCACAATATCACAGCACTTTTAGCTTCTGAAACAGAAGCTGTTTTGTCCACAACACCTATCTGATGCCCAGCACAATGACGCTCTTATGCTCCACTGTAGCACAACTAATGAAACAGAAGGTCAGGAGACAACCAAAGCTGAAGCCCTTTTGTCAGGAACCTTCTTGGGATCGTAACTCATAGAATCATAGAATGGTTTGGGTTGGAAGGGACCTTAAAGATCATCTAGTTCCAACCCCCTGCCATCAGCAGGGACACCTTCCACTAGATCAGGTTGCTCAAAGCCTCATCCAGCCTGGCCTTAAACACTTCCAGGGAGGGGGCAGCCACAGCTTCTCTGGGTAACTTGTTCCAGTGTCTCACCACCCTCACAGGAAATAATTTCTTCCTCATATCTAATCTAAACCTACCCTCTTCCAGTTTAAAGCCATCACCTTGTTCTATCCCTACCTGCCCTTGTAAAAAGTCCCTCCTCAGCCTTCCTAAATCCTTCTCCTCAGACTAACCATTTGGAGATTGTAAATGCTGATCAGCACTTATCTACTAACAATCAGCATCTCTGTACCACTGCTGACCCTTCAGGGTAGACAAGGATACAGAAGTCTTTGCCATGATTAGGCTAACTGGGTGCTAGATCTACTATAACAGGTATTTGAAATTAGCACCAGCCAATCCACTTATGATGAAAACATGGCTGGCTGATACGTGAAAGGTGGGCACAACTTCTCCACCATTAACCTTTATCTTAGCTATCTAAAGGGCTTTTAGCCTCTTTCCATTGAACATAACAGAACTATGAATTTCAGCATGAAATTTAACTCTCCTTCAGCTCCTTATCGTCATCCTCCAACACACTGAAAGCAAAGCACATCAGGCTGAGGGAAGGAGTCGTCACTCACCTGATAGGGTTCATATCTGGCCGACTAGGTTTAGAGACAGCTTTGACAAACTTCTCCGCCAGCTGAATCCTGAATTAAAATGGAAAGAGAATCCAGCAGATTAGGGAGATCTTTGGCACAGCAGTTTAGTAAACATTTCCAGCAGAATAACTGATTAGACACAGTGGTGGTGGTACATGCAGACGGCCTCTACTGCTACCCAAATAGGTACTGAGCAAGACTTTTTTCACCCCGCTCTCCCAGTTCAGTGCTCAGTGATACTGGCTATGATCCATTAGCAATGTGTCTCCATAGCTTCTTCTACAAGCCTACATGCTGCTGAACATACTTTTGGAAAGTAGGACTAGTAGAGACATGTCTCTGAGGAAGAAAGCAGAGAAGCTTGTTCCTTGTCCCTCAGCCAGTTATCAGCTATGCTCATTCACATTCCCAGGATGCTCAGTTTACCCAGACTGTGCCTGGCTCACCCCAGACTAAGAAACAAACTAGACCTCCCCTTATCCACAGAGGAGGTACAGCTGGAAAACGCTATACGCACTTCAGTTCAGAGCAGGTTCATTCACAGTTCATCTTTACAGCACTGTTTCAGCTGAATGCACTTTTCTCCCTGTGATCAGCATTCTGCTTTTAGTGTGAATGTTGTTTCCCAGTCACTCCTACTCATGTACAGGAAAGAAGCTTCTCCAGATCCTACATACCTCTGGTTGAAATGCTGCTTTCGAACATCATTGCCATTCAGCACCAAAACATCAAGAATGTGGATAGCACTGATTTTTCGCTGGGCTTTCCCCTAGGGAGGAAAATACAGAGACTTACTACTCAGACTGTTGCTATTTTAGCTTTGATTTATAGCCTGTTTTTTGACAGGACATCATTCTCTTCTCACAAGAAAGCACCTTTACAGATATTAGAAGGACACAAATTCCCTGCTGCCCATTGTACAGTAAAGTGCCATCCTCCAAGAACTGGTGTATCTCAACCACACAGTTTTGTCTCAGGAGAGGGAAAGATTTTTTTTTTGCCACCACCAGCTCTGTGTGTCTTATCAGGTACCACAGCACAAAGCCCAGTGCACTACAGCATCTGCATCTGAGGTGCCAGAGGACAGGCAAACTCCCAGGCAGCAATACCTTACATGGTGAATATACCATGATAATCTTTTCCCCAAGGCCTGCAATCACTACTGAGCAGTTATGTATCCAAAGAGCCACAGAACACATTAAGTTATGTTGGCAATGTCATCTGCTGCCGTACATAGGACAACAGCAGCATGTCAGGTCCAAAGTGTTTTCAAAATAATGTTAAAAGCTCCTATCTCTAGCACTGGACAGAAAGAAGAAACTTAATCAAAATAGTTTCTCTAAAGATCATATACAAAAAAACCCCCAAACAACTTGCACCTGGCACAGATGGAACATTTATTCTGCATTATCTTACATAGGTGAAACTGTTCATTACATTTGTGGCCACCTGGTAAGGGAGAGAAGAGCCTCCTACCTCGCCTTTCAGCTCATGAACAATCTCCACAGAGAGAAGGGTATCTCGTGGCAGCTCAGTTTTCAAATCCAGCTTTGTCCAGCGATCTGACTGGCGACCATCCCAGGTGTAGATCTGTGATTTCTGTGTGGAGAAGGCAGAGTCAGATTCAGCCAAAGCTTCATGAGGGCACGGGTGGAAGAGAGACCTCTGACTAACTGCAGAACAGCCCTCAGAGATTATTTTTGTCCTAGGCTGTCAAAGGCAGTTTCCTTGTCAGAAGTTTTAAGGAAGAACCTGAATCTCTACAGCAAAGGAAGAAAACACTGATTCTAATCTGCCAGTGACTTTTCCTACCCACACAAAAGAACCATAAATAGAACACCTTTAAAAGGACAGTGAAGATAATTAGAGACACTAGCAAGGGTACAGGTCTCTGTGTAGGCTGCGATTACAAAAACAGGGTTAATTAGTGTGAAAAGCAGTAAAATCAGGAGAAAGAAACATAAAATAACTAGCAGTCTCAGGGACTGCTGATGAGGATCCTTTCTGGCCTTTGAGGACAGGAAAGGATGGGATGAAACTGCAAGGCAGAATAGTAGCATTGAAATGAACCAGCAAAACTCCTGGAGTCTTCTCAGCACTTACCCCTAGCCCCAAGAGGAACTTCTGCTCACTTCCAGACACCATGCACCGGTAATCCAACACTTGGCGAATTTTCTCCAGTGTACTGGAATTCAGAGGAGTGGGTTTGTAACTGAAAGTATCAATGTCCGTGCCCTGAAGAGCAAAGTATGTAAAAGGCAAGTTAGACACAATACATCAACAGGTAGGTACATGCAACTTCTACATGAAACAGTAATCCGGGACTAGCTGCTTTATCTCTTATTTCCTACGGGGAAACGTTCTATTTGTATGAAACAACTCAGAACAAGCTTCTGGTTAAGGTCTCACCTGGATCAGCTCAAAGAACTTGGATTTGGGATCTGAAGATGAAGGAGCAACACGAGCCTGATCAGGAATCTGAAAACAAATCCAAATGACTGATAGTAAGTGTTATTCTCTGGCACATTCATAGGAACCTTTCTGGTTTCAATACATGACAAGACATCCTGCCCCTTGAAACTCCTGCTCTTGAGATTCCAGTTACTGGAGAGGTCATCTGGCAAATAAAAGGTCTCATGTGTTTTGCCAATTTAATGTAGGCATGCCATGTCTCACAGGAAACAACAGGCAACTTCAGAAAGTTTCAGGCTAAATCTTTGATTTCATCCATGTTTCAATGAAATTTTGTTTCATCAAAGACAAACAATTAGCCTGCGAAACTGACTGCCATGTCTACGGCTCCACTTCAGTCAAAAGCTCAGGAAAGAGAAACTGCAGACCCATAGAACAAGACCTTTTGGAGAGCTCTGCTGCTTGGGAACTGGGTGCTGATTTTACTCTTTGTAGGATGAAATATTCCCACCTGCAGCCAAGAAGCCTGCTCAGTGAAGTCATACACAAAATGAGTCAGAAACATCCTGTTTGCTTACATAAACGGTTTGAAATGGTATCTGACTTTCCCACAAGACAACATATTAAACCTCTGGCTAGAAAGTCACATCCATACTGCAGCTCCATTCTTGTTCCACCACAGCAAGGACACCTTCACCACCTCCCTGCTTAGCAGTTTACTTACCCCCCATAGCTGGAGACACTCCTTTCGGATTTCAGCCTGCCGTGGCTCAATCAGTGTCCTACGGAAAGACAGCAGACTGCTAAGATGGTGTTAACTTCATTGCTCTGGCAGCATTACATATCCCAGCCCTATAAAACTTGCATCTTCCAGTGTCTGGCTTGGGAATGACAAACATGCACTGTTCCTCAACAGATTACACAAAAGAGGATGCTGCCTTCCCTCCCCACCCTCCACCCATCTCCAATCCCCATGTTTAGCTCTGTTTCATGGTCTGCACTACTGATTAGTAGCCACCACTCCATCCCATGAAAGTACCATTGGGCATCAATACTTTCAAGAAGTTATGTATTAGTATGAACTTATGCTAATCTCGAAGAGCTGGATACACAGCCCTGTTTACAAATAGCAATGAAGACCTGCAAAAGCCATACAAAAAAACAGTGCCAATATTAGGATTAACTCTTAGATAACTCCTAGCGCCCAGACTCACTCAACTTTCTACTACATATTATCTCTGAATGACATCTGAACAGAAAAGTCATGCCAGGGGAACAGTTACACATTGCAGTGGCTTTAGATTTAAACAAAAAATTGACATCCTAAGCTTTAGGCAAGTCTAGGTATGTAACTTAGATGCTTTGAATTGCCCCTGGCAAAGGAAGAGCTATGAACCACATCCAACTGAGACAGTTACTGTAGAACTGAACATACCAGCTGGGAGCTACTGTTCTGCTTACACTCCTGCTAAGAAGTAGGCCCACTTACAGTAATTGGAAATCATGCAATGCATGGAAGCTTTCTCAACAAGGGTGATAACAGACCATCAACTTTCAGGAATCCTCCAGCACCCACATATTTCTGCAAAGAACTCGGGCAGAGACACAAACTGAGCTACCTAAAGGCACTATTCACTTTCCTGGCTCCAAAGGCCAAGCCAAGTACCAGCTCAAATTAAGAACACATTAAAGAAGGGCAAAGCAATTAATTTATAGCAGGTTAATTCAGTCCTCACTGAAAGCCAGAGGAATATACTCACGTGTCTTGAACAAAGGCACGAATTTTGGCTAGTGCCTTTATCTGAACTTTGCAGTGGCTGAAAGAGAGGACAAGTTTCAGTCAGGAAGCAAGTTAATCACCACTAAGATTGTTCTACTTTTCAAAGCAAGGAAGAGTGCTGGGACAACAGGAAGAAGCCAGTCTGATCCTCAGAGCAGTGATGGATCATTGCCAACATGATTCAAAGCAACAGGAAGACCACTGGAAAAAACTAGGCAGTAGTCTTCTTTCTCTTCTACACAATACTCAGGGGCCAAACAGTCACCAACAGTATACAGCATTTCTCTCTGCACAGGGTCTGTCTGCTCTGTTAAGCCTCTCAGGGAGCAAAAGCAGAGCAGTGTACCAGCATCAACAAGGACCTCCATGAGTGCAAGAAGCTACAACTGAAAGCCATGTTGGTCAACCTGCCTACAGACAGCAGCCCTCATCACCCATAGACACTCACTTTTCATTGGACTGGACAATGTAATCGTAGAAATCCTGGTCGCCTTTGATCACGTTCAATGGGACAACAAGATTCACGTCCACATCAGAGTTGCGCAGCTGGTTAAGTCTGATGTTCACCATGAAGAGATAGTCCCGCACGTCATCGATCCCAAGCTTTAATCCTTTGCATATCACGTACCTGTAGAGCAAGGCAGAGAGATTGCATGGGTTCAGTTCCTTCACAGAGTCAACTTTCCTGCCACACTCCCATTACCAGGATAGTTTCTCAAATCCCAGGAACTCTTTCCTCCTGGGTACCCCTAGGAAGGTGCAATGTCACCTATCAAAGTCATTAAACATTTTCTACGCTTTGGAAAGACTGGGAAACTCAATCCTATTGAAAAACCTCAAGATCTCCCTCAGGTAGTAAATAAATTCTGCTAAATTTGACCGGTACAATGATAACACACATAATATACTCTAGCTTCATTGGAACCATAGTTGTTTCACGAAAAACAGAATTTGTTTTATATTCAGTTCCATTCCTTTCTCCTCAGAAGTATAATTTGGTAAATATCACCTTTACCCTGTCAAACATCGTATTTGCTAAGCATCGAAAATGTTTCCTCCTCCAAGACAGTTGCCAATTGAGGCAGGTCACAGAGCTTCCAGTAGACTTACCCAAATCCATCTATCACTGTATTTAGAGGACAGTCTCTTTAGTATTCCCTCATGCTCAAGAATCTCACCTCTCTGAGTTAGCAGGGCGGCTTGTCACAGGTTTGAAGATACACACTCGCTCAAAGCAGCAATACAGCAGATAAACAAGTCCCACACTGAATGGAGTAAACAGATCAAAGGTTTTGCAGACAAAATGTCCTCCTGGAAAAAAGAGGGGAAGCACACCAATACCAGCAGATTATAAGGACACAAGGAGATACCAGGCACCTCAATAACTTCCTCTTCTGCAGAACCGGTACAAGTAGTTTTGTACAAGTAAACAGCACCTAAATACATCCAAGAAGTGAGCCAACAGGGCTCTATGAACCATCTTCACCATAACGCTGCAGCAAAGAGAAAAGCATTTCCCTCACCAGGATCAAATCCGTATGTGTGCTGCCTAACAAGCAAACCTTCCATCCAACCCCCCATCCTCCCCTTCCAGGCCCAAACTGTGCCCTATGGCACGGCAGCATGCTACACAAAAGCCTCAACAGAAGAGGAGCTCCAATATATGCAAGAAGAAACACCAGGCTGGAGGAAAAATCTAATAGATGTTACCTAAACAGAGCAACTTGCCATCTAGAAAAGAGTCTACGCTATGTCGCCCTTTGCCTTCAAAGAAGATTCCCAATTTCCCCAAGCAAAAAGCAGACAGTCTTACAGAGCCATTATCTACCCAGACAGTAAAGACTTAAAGGTTGCTCCTCTTATCATATCACATTTGAGACTACTGCCAAGCAGATCATTGCCTCAGGTACTTCTAAACATAGGGCACGGGATAAATTATAACGTAACGAGCGTTTTTATCTTCTGCGTCAGTGCCAAATGCTAACTACGCTCAGCAGAAGAGAGGAGCCATCAAAACCAGATTGAGCTGTAATGTCCATCATTTGGCAACAGCGAGGTACAGCTAAGACAATGTGAGACATCGTCTTGTTTTGATCATAGAGACGGCAGATTTCAAGGAGAAAAGCCACAAGTTAGAGGGAAGGATAAACACCACTCCATTCCAACCAGGCTGCTAGAATATTCAGGAAGCAGCTGGTCCATTAGTGTCATAAAACTCAGATACACGGTCCAGTTGTCACACTAGCTACCTTAGCCCAAGACAGCTACATAACATAACACATTGTAAGAGCTTTAAACTAATGCATTTTACCCCGTGCTTTTAATTAAAGGCAAAATAAGCACACATAAGTATAATTTTTCTGCCCCAGTTCTCCTAGCTTTGTGACAAACATCTCGGGATGCATAACATACACACTCAATTCTGTGCAACTTAGCCTCACAGCAGAGCAGACTTTGTTGCACATTAATAAAAATTGTACAGCATCCAGCTGCAATGTCACCCACACCTTAGAGAAGGAGGAAGAAGATGAATGGATAAAACATACCTGTCCGGACAATGGACAGTGCTGTAAGGAACTGGCAAAGCATCAGCTGTTTGCTTAGGATCTCTTGCAGATTCTCCTGACCCTCCACCGAGAAACCCTTTAAAGCACAGAGCCTATGATTAGTATCTCCACAAATCTGCTGGTCAAGCAAAGCATTCTGTACAGCTAAATCATTGAACCATGATAATTTCTGTTTCTTCAAGATTAAAAAAAACAACCTGCCACTAGGAATTGTAATGGCAAGTCTTGAAGAATTTCACGTTGTAACTATGGACACACGTCAAATATCCTACTATATGCAGACTGAGGTATCAGTTTTGGACATTAGTGCAAGAAGAAAAAGAAATGGACCAACCCCATCAGCCATTAAGAAATGCACTCCCTTGTGATCTGTATTGTCCAAGACGAAATTCCGGAAAGCAGTAATGTTCTCTGGGCGAGTGATGTCTCCATCTCCATCAATCCCTCCCTCTCCTAAGTGGAAAAGAGGAGACAATTACTAACATGTTCACAAGTACAGACAAAAGATCAGTACGTGCAAGTGATCTACTGTATTCAATCAATATTTAGTCAGAAGTTACACAGACCTTGATAGGTGAACAAGCATTAACACATTCCCTTGTTCACCACTGAAGATGCTTGCTAATGTAGGAAAATGATTCAGATTGTGTGGTGAGGACTATGCGAAGCCACACAATAACCATGCTCAAATGATGAGTTGTATATTAGCCTCAGCAAAAGATAAATCATTCACTGCCCTCCCCTGAGATGAGAACTGACTACATGACAACATAATATTCTCATCCAAGTAGGACTGACACAGAGCTGAATCTACTAAAAATGTAAAGTTCAATCTCACTGTACAGCTCACCTGTTAATAACATGTTTTTACAGACAAGGCAAAATTATTTACACTGTGCACTGGCAACCTTCTACTAAGAATTCAAATCATTCCAAAGAAACACAATGCTCTATTTCCAAACACAACGCAATCTGGAATTTAAAAAAGCAACCCCCAAAAAACCCTGTGAACAAGTTTTGTCCCCAGGACAAAAGGGAGTAGGGAAAAGGGAAATGGGGTTTGTGCATTAATATTCCTACAGTTTTCCCATATGGTTCTTTTTAAAGAGAGGTATGTTGTACCCCAAGTTGGCATTTTAGAAAGCTAATCTAAGGTGTATTCTAGAGCTCACCAATTCTAACTTAGAAGAAGCCTTAACTTCTACTTGGTGTTAGTCCCTATAAATCTTCTGCAACTACAGCTTCTATTAACGGAACTGGAGGACTAGAAAGTAGCAGAGATCAGGATGCATGATAGTGCTTTGATAACTACATTCCTCATCAATCATACTGTCAGTAAGTGAAGCGACGCTAGAATTTGTTACCATTCCTCACAACACAAATGTCACAGCAGGCTACTTCCTTCCCATCACTGGAAGAGAGTTTGCACACATCTCACTAGACTTTATAGCATAACAGACAGAAAGGGATCAAGAAAATCCATCAAAGTCATTGGGCTATTCATTTCTCCAGGCATCTCCTTCTCCCCATAAGAACACCAGTTTGCAGTGAGTTATGAAGATCCAAATGCTGCAACCGTTAGAACAATGTGTTTATCTGCCTTGGTGCCCTTGCCATGAACCTTCTCTTTAACAGATCTAATCCTAAAGTGCTAACCATTCTCTAAGAGTTCATGGTCAGGTATCAAAAGTGGCAGTCAATAAGAGTCAGACTGGTGGAGGGAAAGAAGAAAAAAGTGTAATAATGGAACAATAAATCCCCTTCTCGACAAGGCAGTCACAGTTGAGTTTCCATTATACAGTCTGAAATAAGAAGCAGAAATACTAGCAATCCTTGTATTTCCCTTCCTGTTCGTAGAGGCTAAGGAGACAGAGGGCTCAAACATCTCAACAAGCTTAAGAAGTTAGCATCCGTGAGGTGAGATGGAGCAATTGTCTGTGTACACCTGCTCAGTCTGTCTCAAAGCAAAGCAAAACCTCTCAGCTTAAACCTCTCTGGATTAAGAAGCTCATTTAGTCACAGTGATTCAGACACAGCCTCTAACCCAAACCTGTTTTATTTATCTTTACTAAGAGCCCACAATCAATTACCAAAGCAGAGCTAAAGAGGTCTGATACAGACGCATACTGCCAGTCAGGCAAGTAAGGTTTCTATCTCTGGCTCTGCCAACAGCTCTTCGGGCAAGTCTGGGGGCTGGAGCACTTCCCCTATGATGACAGACTGAGAGAGCTGAGGTTGTTTAGTGGAGAGAGGCTCCTGGAAGACCTTATAGCAGCTTTCAGTAGGGGCCTACAGGAAAGACAGGGCAGGACTCCATCGGGGATTGTAGTGATAGGACAAGGGGTAACTGGTTTAAAATTGAAGAGGGTAGGTTTAGATTAGATATTAGGAAGAAATTCTTTATTGTGAGGTTGGTGAGACACGGGAACAGGTTGCCCAGAGAAGTTGTGGATGCCCCCTCCCTGGAAGTGTTTAAGGCCAGGCTGGATGAGGCTTTGAGCAACCTGGTCTAGTGGAAGGTGTCCCTGCTGATGGCAGGGGGGTTGGAACTAGATGTTCTTTAAGGTCCCTTCCAACCCAAACTGTTCTATGATAAGTCATCTCTCTCACTGTGTTTCAGGCTGACATCAGTGAAGTGGGAAAAACACTGTCATGCAATCTCAAAGCACTCTACAATTTTCAGATAAGCAAAGCGCTCAAGTATCAGCTATTATAATGGGACACATTCCCAGGGCAGACTGGAAATAAGTGCAGAAATGTGACTTGATATACAAGCTCACCAATCTCAAGCCCTTTTTCAGATGACAGCCCCCTTCTACCTTGCAAAATGGTTCCCTCTAAACAGGCTTCTCTTAGATCTCCATGCTGGTACCAATACCAACCCTGCTCCTGATACAGAGGCTGCAGCATAAGAAAAAAAAATCAGGTAATCCTCACGCAGGCACTACATACCATAATAAGGTTCAAAGAGCTCACTGGAAGCAGAATAGAAGTCCTCTAGTTTAAAATCATTTGGTCCTTTCAAGGTCATGCCAAATCCTTTCGCATGCCACTTCCGCCTCCACAAGACATACTCAGAGAAGCCTCCGGGACCAGCACACACATCGGCGAAGTAGAGCAGCTCTGCATCTCGCTCCTTTACCAAGGGCCTCTGCAAAAGGAAACTGAGGAAATTCTACTGACCCAGTAACAGCTCCCATCAGTCCAACCAGATACACCATAAACTGCACTACTCAGTCAGACAAGTCTCCTTCAAGCATCTGTTTTTTCCCAGCTAGCATCCTAAGGATTCTCCTTCCTTCCCACCCTCTCCATTCTCTGAGAAAGCACTGCTGTTTGAAAGCTAAAGAGAGGCCCTCACCCCATGGAAGTCCTTAGGGTTTGTAAACATGTAGTCAAAGACATGGTCCATATTTGCCATCTTCATTGCAGCCCTGCAAACACATAAATAGGGAGCTATTACGTTTCAGTCTTGGCTCCCAAGGCTGCAAGTGGACATAAATGGGAAAGGAGCTACACTACCAGAAGTTCTGCAAACCTGTTCAGGAAGAAAACTCCACGGATCATCTCATATGGGTTAGACCTTGTTCGGGCTCGACGCATTTCTTCTCCATCCAGCTCATCAAATACACTCTGCAGAAACAGAAACAAAATTGAGCTGGACCTGGCACAGGCTACAGGGATAGGCAGGCACGAGCATTTCCTATCCTCGTGCTTCTCTCCTTAGACAGCAAACTCTGTGCAGGGTTTGGTTCACCAACACAGAATGTTCTTCTGTCACATCATACTCACTCCTCTTCTACCCCAGTTCTTAAGCAAATTTAGTGACACTGAAGAATTCTGTACTGATAGCTCCAGAGCCTGACAACATGGTTAGCAACCTCAAAAGCAGTCCCAGTCTAAGGTGTTTCTCTCACATATATACACACACACTCACACTCTACTGCAATTTACAAGGGCACCATAAAATCTAGGAGGGAAGATGGAACACATAGGAAAGGAAAGAGAGTTTATTTCCTTAGCTTATTCAAGTCCTCAGCCTTTCAGCTGGACTAAGAAAGGGAGAGTGTTTTCATTCATCTCTTTGAAGGCTGAGGTGCAAAACAGGTTGCTGAACAGATAGTAACAACCAGAATTTGAGGTCATACCAGTGGCATGGAGGTGAAAGAGGACATTCTGAGCTCTTTCCAGTCACCTAAGTAAACTACTCAATCCTCTTCAATTATTTATTTCAATTGCTTCCCCAAAACTTCAGTTCCTCTCTAAAGAGGGTGACTCACCTTGCACTGCAGGACATTACGTAAAAGCTCTTCACTACAGAACTCTGTTTCATCTTCAATCACCATCTTCCTCTGGAACAGGACAAGAACACAGGTAACAATTAGCAAACATGGTATCAATCATTTCAGAATGCAACCTCTAACAGTAATGGATGAAGGTTGCCAACCACATCCTAGGCCATATTAGCAAAAGCGTAGCCAGCAGACCAAGGAATGATTCGCCCCTGTTAGGCACCTTGAGACCACATTTCCACATCCAGTGGAATACCTCACACCCATCCAGTTTAGTACTTTCCAGTACAAGACAGACATACTGGAGCAAGCCCAGCAAAAGGGCCACCAAGATGATGAAGATGGGTGCAGAAGTACCTGGTGTATGAGGAGAGACTGAGAGAACAGTTTGTTCCAAATGGAGAAAAGGAGATCCTATTGCTGTCTACATGCACCTAATGGCAGGAAATAGAGAAGATTGATCTAGACTCTTAGAGCTGGACAGCAATAGGACAGGAAACAATGGACACAAGCTGCAACACAAAAAATGCCAATCAGCCATATAGAATTTTGTCAGCTGGGTTATCAAACACTGAAACAGATGCCCAAGAAGGTTGTGAAATTTCCATCCATGAAGATAGTCAAAACTCAACCAAACAAGGCCTTGAGCAACCTGATCTTGTTGGACCTGCTTAAGCAGAAAGCTGCACTAGCAATCTCCAAAGGCTCTCTCCAGTCTAGGTTATTGTACAACTCTTTGACAAGGCAACTGTTCAATTGTTTCAGGCCGAGTAGTCCTGTGTCATCTTAGGCTGCTAAGTACCGCGATCTAAAAAATTACCTTCCCCACAGTCATCCACTCCTTCAGCTCCTGGGCATCAGGGATTTCCGTGGTACACTCAAGGCACCAGTCCACCTCCTCATAGGCACTGGGCTGCAAAAACAAGACACAGGAAGAGCCAAAGACATTTTTGCTAGCAAAATATAACAAATAATTGCTCCCCAAAACTTTGCCTCCCAATCCTAGCATAAGGGATTATGCCATTACTTTAGGGCCAACCATAGAGTTTTTTTGTCCTAGTCTAAAACAGGTCTCATTTGTTTGGATTGAAAATTTAAAAAACAAAAAACAAACAAACAAAAAACCCAACCAAAAACCTCCATCACAAAAAACCCCACACTGCTTCCACAGAATCACAGAATGTTCGGGATTGGAAGGGACCTCAGAAGATCATCTAGTCCAATCCCCCTGCCGGAGCAGGAACCTAAATGAGATCACATAGGAAGGTGTCCAGGTGGGTCTTGAACGTCTCCAGAGAAGGAGACTCCACAACCTCCCTGGGCAGCCTGTTCCAGGGCTCTGTCACCCTCACAATGAAGAGGTTTCTTCTCAAGTTTAAGCGGAACCTCCTGTGTTCCAGCTGACACCCCTTGCCCCTTGTCCTACCATTGGGCATCACTGAGAAGAGCCTGGCTCCATCCTCCTGACATTCACCCTTTACATATTTATAAACATTAATGAGGTCACCCCTCAGTCTCCTCTTCTCCAAGCTAAAGAGACCCAGCTCCCTCAGCCTTTCCTCAGAAGGGAGATGCTCCACTCCCTTAATCATCTTGGTGGCTCTGTGTTGGACTCTCTCAAGCCATTCCCTGTCCTCCCTGAACTGTGGGGCCCAGAACTGGACACAATATTCCAGATTCCTCTCATTAGAGTCTGGTAAATAATCAAGACAAAGCAAAAGCCTAGTACTCTCAAGGTACATTTTAGAGACACTGCAAAAGAGACAGTTGCCAAAGAAACACACTTCCTGGTGGTGCTTTACACATCCTTTCTCCTTCTTCTTTCTGAAAGGCTCCCTCATTCCACAATTTAATTCAGACTTCAAACAATTTTTATAATCTTGAGAAGGAATTGTTTTAGCAGTTAAGATCAAGGTGATGCTACTCTTCCACAGAGAGGCTGCTAAGATCTACTGACCTTTTTGTACTTATTATAGTAGTATCATCCGCAAGGGTTAAATATACATAATGCTTAACTAGAGTGAACTGTAGAAACACACTGGAGAATGAGACCCAAACCAATGAGCCTACAGAACAGGTCTCAAATTCCCAGCTCTCAACAAATAACCTCTGATACTATTTTCAACTGCTGAAAACAATTCAAAGAATGGAGAGCAAAGTACTGTAACGTGCATCGTCCATGACTTGACAAGCACTGCTGCCCTTGACTAACAATGGCTGGGACCTTCTGGCTTACTCTCCAGCTGCCAGATCCCTCAGATTCAGTGTTGTGGTTTGTTTTTTTCTTTTTAAATACAAACATACAGCAGCTATTTTGCAACAAATAATATCAAAACTGGGCTTTACTTCCTTGACAACATCTATTTCTATTTCCCAGTGTTCCTCCCTGGTGAAGAGCTTGACAAGACACAGAAACAGAACATCTGAGCATTTTATTTAGGACTATTAAACACACTCAGAAAATATGTATTTTTTTAAAATCACCTATACAGGCATAAAAAATAAAATACAAAATAAAAATGGTAAACCCAAAAGAGCTTGATAATAATTTTCAATCACATTCACTACTGCAAACTCAGAAACAAATCCTACAGGCCACAGGAGCAATCCATCTGAAACCAATTTTGTGCCAGAACATTAATACATGTGACAGAAGACAAGTTTTGCCATGGTGTTCTGGGACAAAATAAGGCCTGGGTCTACCCAGCAGAGCCACTTAATGGTAGCCAGTTATATCAGAGAACACTAAACATCATTCTCAGAGGGCAAATCCCGAACACAGCAACAGAAAAGGGATTCAAACCAGGAAGTACTTACCTCTGGCTCATCCTGCCAATCAATATTGAGCTCCCCATCAAATCCTTTGAGGGTCAGCCCAAAACCTCTCCTTCCCTTCTGATTGGAGGCCTCAACAATATCCTTCCTGCCTTGGCCATATTTTCCGAGACCTTCTCCTTCCCGGAAGCCCATCTTGGCCTATAAAGAAAGCAAAGGGAGCACACTGAGGCAAGAGGACATTTATGTACCACTGCTGGGGTCAAAGACTAGCAGGGAAAATGGCACATCACGCTAAAATGACTCGAAGGCATTGAGTATTTTTCATCTCAGCTGTGGCTTTCAGGACTTAATACTGAGTTCACTTCACTGAGGCAGGGCAAAAAAAAAACTAGATCTGAAGAATGATGTTTTGAGATGACAGCAAATTACAAAAGGTTCAGTGACGCAGGAACAGCCTGCTCAGAGGGAGATGTAGTGAGGAGCCTGGAGCCATTCATCACAGTGTTCAGCAAGCATGGAAGGTTCATAAAACAAAAATGCTGGCACAGGAAAGAATTCATGTTGTGATGATATTCTTTGTTGTGAACATGCACTCACATACATTTCAAGCATCACTTAAAACTTCACCTAAAACTCAGAGGAGGACTGCAAGACACACTGCTCCTGAAACACATTCCCTTCTCTTAGGTTAAAAGAAATACGTTGGTTAACTGCTAGTTTTTCAGGCTTTTCACTTCATAAATTTTAGCAATGAGAGAACAACAA